TTGATGGAGTCTTACTCTGTTGCCCAGGCTGGAGTGTAGTGGCATGATCTTGGTTCAGGGTAACCTCTGCCACCTAAGTTCGGAAGATTATCCTGCCTCAGCCTCCTGAGTAGCTGGCATTATAGGTGTATGCCATCATGCCTGGCTAATTTTTGTATTTTTAGTAGAGATGCAGTTTTGCCATGTTGGCCAGGCTGGTCTCAAACTCCTGACCTCAGGTGATCTATACCCCTCAGCCTTCCCAAGTCCTGGGATTACACACCTGAGCCACTACACCCAGCCTAAACCACCTCTTTCAATCAGTGTAATCTAAGACCACTAATCCTAAGGAACAGCATACTGTTTCTCCCTGTCTTACTCCCAGCTGTTTCCCAGCCTTCTCTATGTCCCAAGCCCAATCGCATCTTAGGATTCCTTCACTACTCAGCCCTATTTCCTTCCTCATTGGCATTTCTTCCTTTCAGGATTTCCTACTTCCTTCTGTGGCCAGTCCCTGCTCTCTGTTTCCACTCAAACATCTTTCCTCATTCCCTAATGTCTTTCCAGTAAGGTTGCCCTTTCCCAGGCAGCTTCTTTCCTCTTACATGCCATTTGTACCCTTGGGCACCTACCAGCTGGGGAGCATGATCACAGTTATCTTTAAATTTGTAACAGCTGTCAAAGGGAAGTGTGAGCAAACTTCTGGGCAGAGCTCAAATCAGCGCCTGGGACCCTACAGGGAGGCATCTGGACTTGCCACAAAGAGGAGCTCACTGATAGGGTGAGATACCTGTGGGGTAGCCTCTGCCAGTAAGAACTCCAGTGACTTTCAGGAAATCAGCTAACTTCTCCAGTACTCTTCTATAAAGCAAGAATATTGCACTACCTTATCTCAAATGTTCTGCCAGTTCTAATTGTCCACAATTCTGTTGTACAGAAAAAGGCTGTTATCAAAAACTGGTTCATTTGACTTCATTGGCAGGAGGCCTAATTCCAGATTATCAATATACAAAAGAAAGCAAGGAGAAATGCAATCTTGAATAGTCTATCCTTTGGTTTTTACAAATTGGGGACAGAATGTTCCAGAAAGGCGGGTGGAATATGCTTTTGGCTCTGCTGACACTGAAGTTAGGTTGGGTAAATTCCAAAAGGAACTGTGTAGTACTTACTCATGTAAGAACTTCTTTGCCTTCAAATATTCTCTCTCCTGAGAGAATGCCAGCATGAAATTTCTGTGTTCAGAGGGTCTCTTTCGTGTATTTACCTTTTTACAACCTCTTTGTTGTATTCCTAAGAAAAAAAGGATTTCATTTCTCTCGCAACAAAATGCCTTTGGGGAAGACTGCTGGTTTTGGCAGCAGGCAAAGGGTTTCTTGAAAGGAGGATTTCAGTTCCACCATTGAAACAGTCTCCATGGCAACCAGTCATCAAGGCTCCAGCAACCTTTTCATAGACACTCTCCACTCGGGAGGCCCTTTTCCATCCTGCTGACAAAGTGTTTGCGTCTGTGAGCAAGAGTTCTCTGCTTCTACGCATCCAATTAGGGAGATGTTCAGATGTCACATTAGAGTTCCGAGTGTTTTATATTCTGTTCTAAATTGTCAAATTTGGTAAGAATGGGGTTAAATTTTTATGAGTCAGAATTTAGAATACTTTTCATTATTGTGGCAAATATTACAGCTATAACTTCTAATAGGGACTGATTTTTTTTTTTTTTTTTTTCTTGAGAGGAAGTCTCGCTCTGTCTCCCAGGCTGGAGTGCAATGGTGCCATCTTGGCTCACTGCAATCTCGGCCTTCTGGGTTCAAGCGATTCTCCTGCCGTAGCCTCTTAAGTAGCTGGGATTACAGGTGTGTGCTACCATACCCAGCTAATTTTTGTATTTCTAGTGGAGACAGGGTTTCACCATGTTGGCCAGGCTGGTCTCGAACTCCTGGCCTAGCCGCAAGTGATCCACCTGCCACAGCCTCCCAAAGTGCTGGGATTACAGGCATGAGCCACTGTGCCAAGCTGGAACTGCTTTATATATGCTCTATGAGGTGTCATTGAGGAAAAGATACGCCCTGACCCCTCACTAACTGGCATAGTATCTCCTCTTTACTAATATTCATACCTGTAGTTGAGATCAATTCATTTTCCCCCTTCTGAAACTGTCTTCTAATTTCTTCCTTTAATCCTGACTGCTCTCCCAAGCTTCACTCTCAAACATCCAGCTGCCTCTCAAGCTTCTTGAGGTGAGGCTGGAAGCTGAAATCAACTTTTGCAGAACCACACTCCCTCTGCCCCTGTCCCAGCCTCAGCCCCTCCAACCTCTCTTTTATGCCTTTTAACATCTCTTAATGATAGTTCTAAGCCTCTGCTACCCAAAACCAAAGCCTGGGAATTATAAAGACAAATTTAAAACACAAACTTATACTTCTTCACACTTAATTTTACAAATAAGAAAAATGAGCTTAGAAAGGGGAAATGATTTATGGGAATCTCAGAACTGGAATAAAACCCGAGTTTCCTGATTTTCCATTTCAGTATTCTTTTCTCTCTTACAAAACAAAACCAAAAACAAAACCCTCCCATGGTGCCCTGTTTGCATTTCTCCTTAACTTCCTACCAGCAGAATTCCTACTGAAAGGATAGTCCTTGAAACATTTTCTACATAAAGTAGCTATTATGGGAAATTTAGAAAATAGAAGAAAGCAAGAAAAAGAAAAGAGATAATCGCTTATAATATCACCATCCAGAGAGTAGCTACTAATATTTTGTGGTTTTTTGCTTTTAAAGAGGGAGGCTTACTCTGTCGCCCAAGCTGAAGTGCAGTGGTACGATCTCAGCTCACTGCAAACTCTGCCTCCTGAACTCAAGCGATTCTCCTGCCTCAGCCTCCCAAGTAGCTGGGATTACCAGCGTGTGCCACCACACCCTTGCTAATTTTTTTTTTTGTGTGTGTGTGTATTTTTAGTAAAGGTGGAGTTTCGCCATGTAAGCCAGGCTGGTCTTGAACTCCTGACCTCAAGTGATCCGCCTGCCTTAGCCTTCCAAAGTGCTGGGATTACAGATGTGAGCCACGGTGCCCAGACTTAGTGTATTTTCTTCCAGCTTTTCCTGGACATGTTTACTGAATCTCTTTTCAACATACAACTTATTTTCTCCTTTGAATATGCTTCATTAGAAAATGAACGAACATGAGAATCCAAAGACCTAGATTCTTCTGCAGCTTTGCATGAGTTCATGTGACCTTGAACCAGTGCCTTACTCTCATCCTGAGTTTCCCCAGCTAGTTAGCTTGGTGTGAATGACTTCTGTGCTCCAGTAGAGCAATCAATTGAGATTACTGATCAAGTGAGGAAAGAGAATAGATGACTCAAAGATCTCTTGCAACTCTAAAGTCAGAGATTTTAACCCACACATTGTAGAAAAGCAAATAAATGGAGACCCAAATTTAAAAATTAAGGTCTACTAAGAAAGAGTATCCTTTCTTAAACAATCTTATTCACTTATTTATTATATTTTCTAACTTCTTTTTTATTTTAGCTACAAGCCTGGCAGGGAAGAATCATCATCAGGATCCTCTCATGCAGTAATGGACATCTCCTTGCCTACTGGAATCAATGCAAATGAGGATGACTTAAAAGCTGTATGTGTTTTCTTTTAAATTGTGTTGTGAATGCTTTTTTTTCTTTTCTGAATTATTTTATAGGCAATTTTACTTCCTTTAATTTTAATATGCCACATTAGAGTCACCCAAACTATTCTTTGTTTTTTTTCTGGAGATGGATTTTCGCTCTTGTCACCCAGACTGGAGGGCAATGGTATAATCTCTCACTGCAACCCAACCTCCCGAGTTCAAGCTATTCTTCTGCCTCAGCCTCCGAAGTAGCTGGGATTACAGGCATGTACCACCATGCCTGGCTAATTTTTTTGTATTTTTATTAGAGACAGGATTTCACCATGTCGGTCAGGCTGGTCTTGAACTCCTGACATCAGGTGATCCACCTGTTTCGGCCTCCCAAAATTCTGGGATTACAGGTGTGAGCCACCACACTGGCCAGAATATTCTCTTCAAAACATAATGAACCTACATTTTGATTTATCAAAGTGAAGTGGAAGCATACATTAGCATGCTCTGAAAAATATGAGTTTATATGCTAATGTGTTCAGACTTTTTCAGGAAGAGGAACTGCTCTTCAATTTTTTTGAATAATGGATCACATCCCTGTGATGTGACATCTCATCAACAGGTGAATGCATTTAAACAAAAAGATAATGAAATGAAATTTAAGTTTCTCTCTTTCCCCCTTTAGCATGTGGAAGGGGTGGATCAATTATTCACTGATTACCAAATCAAAGATGGACATGTTATTCTGCAACTGAATTCGGTAAGCTCCACCTCCTACCATTTTTCCTTTACTATTCAAAATGTACAGGCTAAAAGATTATAAATATCATCTCTCCATACTTTCCCTAAATCCTTGAATTTGTTGAACAGGTTCCCTCCAATGATTTCCTTTGTGTACGATTCCGGATATTTGAACTCTTTGAAGTTGGGTTTCTTAGTCCTGCCACTTTCACAGTATATGAATACCACAGACCAGGTAATCAACACCATGCTAATATTTCTTCCGAAGAGTAATTTATATTCTTTACAGAACATTTAGAAATTCATTAGAGTCCTGTACATTTTATGTATTGCCTCTCTCAGAGACCACTCTTCATAAAAGTTCCAATTTAAACATCCAAATTACTGCATACAAAATACTATCCACAAGCTACTTCTTGACATTGAGCAAATCATTTCATCTCTCAGTCCTCAGTTTCTTCATTTTAAAATAACTGGAATATAGTGCCTCCAACTTCAATATTCTTTGCCTTGAGTTTATCTATGATATTCACAGATAAATCATATCTCTCCTTTTGAGAGAAACCAACTCAATGCCCCCAGAACAACTTTGAGCCCATCTATCTTCTCGTTATACTTTTCAGATAGCTCTATTATAGCAGCTGTCATATTGAATTATAATTATTTGTTTGTATGTCTTTCTCATCAACCCCAGAGTGTTTTCATTCTTGCATCCCTAGCATCTAATGCAGTGTGAAGTACATAATGTGAACTCAATAAATATTTGTTGAATGGGTGATCCCACATTTTTCTACCCAGCCACTTTTGAGAATGTTATGTGATTGAAGAGCTTATTGGTTCACAAGACAGATGACTCCACCTTGGGCAGTTCTACTTGTTAGAAAATTCTTAAAGTGAACCGAAACTCTGACACCCATTCCTTCTAGTTTTACATTCTGAAATCACGTAGAACATACATAGTCACTCTTCCCTTGAGCTAGATGTATAGAGATACATAGATGTATGCTTTTCTTCTCTTGTCCACCCTCAACAATTCCAGTCTTTCAAAAGATCCTCATGCAATGTAATTTATTTTCCTCTTACTTATGGAAGCATCAAACATTTCACTTCTGAGAAATGAATGTTTCAAGCACAGAACTAAGTTAAAAAGGGGAGATCTTTCTAAGGGTAGGGGAACCCTTCCCAGGACAGTCAATTCATAATTTCACCTCCCTGGGCCTTACCTATAAAAAGAAGGGTTTGAATAAGCAATCTCTGAGGTTCCATGTAAGAGACTCGCCAATTAGTAAATATGCTGTGCATCAATCAAACAGCTTCTCTTAACCATTCTTTTGTTGCCACAGATAAACAGTGTACCATGTTTTATAGCACTTCCGACACCAAACTTCAGAAAGTCTGTGAAGGAGCCGCGTGCAAGTGTGTAGAAGGTAAACTTCATTTAACACGTTTAGGCTGCATGCTTATTTAAAGCAGTCAATCATAATCTGGGGGATACTGTTTGGTAAACTGTTCTTTCTCAGAAGTACAAATGCTACCTCAGGTAATTGAAAGCTAATGATTCCTTGAGCTTTGTGAAACCCCTTTTTCACAGTTCCTCAACAACCTCATAGTTCATGCTGTACGGAGGCAGAGAAACACCATCCAGATGGTTGTTGGATATTACAGGAGCAACATGATGTGAAATTTTACTTTCACCTAGTCTTTTTAAAATAATTGGACCAGAAGCTTGGGACTGAACCACTAGCTTCTGTTTCTTTTGTGTTATACTTCCCAGTTAATAGAATTCTGTTTATTGTCCAGTTCCACCTAGTCTTTATTGAAGAAAGCCTTCTTGGCCAAAGAAAAGATGATCCAGAACTCACCAATAAACAGCAGCTGGTTCCATAAGGGTCTGAGTTGGTTGTGGTTTTTTTTCAAAATCTTCCGTATCTACACATTTTCTAGGTGCTTATTGTGCTATTTTATAGCTATAAATCAGTCACATCATCATGTTGTTTCCTTCAGAGGAATTCTTATTATACTCAAAACGGAAAAATTTTCCCTTTCATGAAGAGAGGCACATACATTTCTAAAGACCTGAATATGGAGTGGCCACCTGGTCTAACAATAAGTCTTATGCCAGGGGTGTCATAAGACTTATTGTCTTTTGGCTTCTATGGGCCACATTGGAAGAATTGTCTTGGGCACTAACAATAGCTAATGAGCTAAAACAAAAATCACAAGAAAATCTTATTATGTTTTAAGAAAGTTTATGAATTTGTGTTATGCCACATTCAAAGTTGTCCTGGGCTGCGTGCAGTCCACAGACCATAGGTTGGACAAGCTTGTGACTTATGCTCAAGATTTTGTTTTTTGTTTTTGTTTGTTTTGTTTTGTTTTTGCTTTATGTAATGTTTCACTTTATGAAAGAAAAGAAAATGCGCAGGTCTTAGAAATCTGACATTTGTAAGGTTGTATTGGGTTGTCTCTGGGCTCATGGGAAACTGTGTTTACTCCTAGAGAGAGTGTCTATTTCTTTACATTAACCTTATTTTGACCAATATTCACAAAATCTAGCTGACTGTGGGCAAATGCAGACAGAATTGGATCTGACAATCTCTGCAGAGACTAGAAAACAAACAGCTTGTAAACCAGAGATTGCATATGGTAAGTTCAAAAATTCAGTATAGCTCCTTTAAACATGAAATTTTATGAATACATGTTCAGTTGGAAAGATCAAAAACTTTACATAGTGATTATATGGATACAACATTCCATGTGATCCCCTGAAGGAAAATGCCATCAATTTTTATCATTAACATGCAAAGTGTTTTATTCCTCAGCAAAGAAATGTGATTTTCATTATAAATAATAGAAGTGACATGTATACCCAGCCAAGATACTTTCCTCTAATAGATCTTTTTCAATTATAGGCACTAAAACATAGTCAAAGGGAACTTTTGAGAAGCTACAGAGGTATAAGATTTCAGTTCTGTACTCTTCCAATTGATAGACCAGAGGCAGAGGCAAAGGTGGTTTAGGGGATTTGGTTCTTAAAAAATCTCTTCAGGGTAAAAATATAAATGCCAAATAATTTTTAATATATTCAGGATTGCAATTCATGTTTGTGACACTCTCCATTTCAAAAAGCGAATCTCAATCCTTCTAGCTGTCCAGAGCTCAGAGCTAAATTAGTGTCCAAGTACAGTTGTAGCCTTGTCTCAGTTCCTGATAAAATTAGCTCCTTTGTTTTCTATTCAGTTTTTGACATTTATTGCTGGCTTTTTTTGAGAGAGAAAACATATTGTACACTGTCTCAAATCTTTTTTTCGTTTTGAAACTGGAAGGGTGGAGCCAGGCATGGTGGCTCATGCCTGTAATACCAGCACTTTGGGAGGCTGAGGTGGGTGAATCACCTGAGGTCAGGAATTTGAGAACAGCCTGGGGCGAACATGGTGAAACCCTGTCTCTACTAAAATCACAAAATTTAGCTGAGCATAGTGGTGTATGCCTGTAATCCTAGCTACTCAGGAGTCTGAAGCGGGACAACTACTTGAACCCAGAAGGAGGAAGTTGCAGTGAGCCAAGATCGTGCCACTGCACTCCAGCGTGGGTGACACAGCAAGACTCTGGCTCAAAAAAAAAGGAAGGAATTGGAAGGGTGTTATTTATAAATTTAAAAAATAAGTACGGCCAAGTTGGTGCTTTGTGTTTACCAACAGCTTTCATAGACAGCTTCTCATTGCAGTGGAAAGGGTTCTCATTCTTACGGAAAGGGTTCCATAAGAACTTTATGAGGGCGGGGCACCGTGGCTCGTGTCTGTAGTTCCAGCACTTCGGAAGGCTGAGGTGAGCGGATCACTTTGAGCTCAGCTGTTTGAGATCAGCCTGGGCAACATGGCAAAACTTCGTCTCTACCAAAAATACAAAAATTAGCTGTCCATGGATGGCTCATGGGTGTAGTCCCAGCTACTTCGGAGGCTGAGGTAGGAGGATCGCTTGAGCCTGGAAGGTAGAGGTTGCAGTGAGCCATTGCACTCCAGCCTGAGTGACAGAGTAAGACCCGAAAAAAAAAAAAAGACGAAAAACACCTTTGATGTTCAAGAGATTAAATAATTTGTTCAAGTTCATGCAGAAAGCAAGTAGTGGAATTAAGATGCATCCTGATCTCCAGTATAATTTCCATTGAAGTCTACTGAATTCGCTTAACAGTAATGCAGTCAACAGAATGAATTTTGTATGTTTAATAACATTTCTTTCCTTTGAATTTATCTTGATTTTGGAGGAAAAAAAAAAAGCTAAAAAGCTGCCTGACTCAGCCTAGACCCACTGCAGTTTGTTAAACATGAAGACTTGAGAATACTGTATTGTTTTAACAAACAAAAAATCCACTAAATTATTTCTTCCCTCCATTTTAGAACTGTTTTAAATCTAAAATATCAGAAATCTATTTTAACACAGAGAATAAATCCAATTTGGGTTAATTGTGTTGTTCCAAGAAAACACTTAGCTGGCTTTTTCTGGACTACAAGCTATTACTGGAATAACAGAATAGAAACGAAATTAAGTAGTTCTGTCTCTCTACCCAGGCCCATATAGTAAGTACATTATGCATGTCTATCATAAAGACTTATGAATCTGAAATTCAGAACATCGTTCCTGCATTTTAAGCCACTAATTTACATAGCCCTTGGTTCTGCCAGGATGAGTTCACCTATCTATCTCTCAAGCTGTCAATCTATATCTGGGATAGATTTAAAGACTTGAGGGATCTCCAGAATAAACAGATACTTTAGGTCACTCATTTCAAAACAAAAAGTAGAAAGATCAAAAGCCAAAATAAAATAAATCTCTCCTGAGGCCACATAGAAAGAATGGGTCCCTTCAAGCTGATCTTTCCAGAGCTGAGGTCAAGCACATTATGCATCAAATATTGATGTCTGAATGAAGAGGAAACAGGATTGTGGGGAGCTCATGTTAGGTAGTTGCTAAGCAAGGGTAAGTGAGAAAACAGAATCATCCTGAAAACCAAAGATCAAAGCCAGTGGAGTGATATGAGGAAGCAAAGCAAGAAACCGAGGAAGCTCACATGGTAGAACTGAATGAGAGAGAAGGCCCCCTCTGTGGTCATGGAGAAGAGAATATAAGGGGCTCTTCAAAGGATGCCCACGGGCATGGTTTCATTCATCTTAAAGGATCAACCTCTGAACTTAGCATCTAACAAAGGTTTATCTGGTTTGTTTTATGTGCATCTGTTATTTTATGAAATATGTCTCTTATCCTAATCAGCCTGTTCTATAACATTGGCTAGGGCTAATGATTCTAATAGATTGAGAGATTAAATCACACTGAGGGGATTGGGGAAAGCTTCTTGGAGGAAATAAGAACTATAATAGTTTGCCATGCTTCATTTCTCATGTTTGACAAATTCTGGCTTCTACTGGACATAGCATTAATAATATTAAGACTGAATTCTTTCATTTTTGTTTGTTTTTTACCAGCTTATAAAATTAGCATCACGTCCATCACTGTAGAAAATGTTTTTGTCAAGTACACGGCAACCCTTCTGGATATCTACAAAACTGGTAAGAATTCATTTCATTTGTTCTTTCATTCAGCAGTTCTTTAGTACCGACTATGTGGCAGGCATTATATTTGATGCAGAAGATACGACTCAAATAAGACAGATGGGGCTCCTGCCTTTTTAAAGCTTATATTCTACTTGGGGAGAAACATTTTTTAAAGATGTTCATATAAATATTTCTCATTGAATTAATTTTTCTCAGACTTCAGCAAAACAGTTTTTTAAATTGTGTATTGTCCAATTTCTTTTTTTTTTTCCCAGCTTTTATTTTAGGTTCAGGAAATACATATGCATGTTTGTTACATGGGTAAATTGCATGTTGGGGGGTTTCGTGTATAGATTATTTTGTTACCCAGGTAATAAGCATAGTACCCAATAGGTAATTTTTCAATCTTCACCCTCTTATCACCCTCTACCCTCAAGTAGGCTCTGCTGTCTAGTATTCCCTTCTTTGTGTCCATGTGTACTCAGTGTTTAGTTCCCACTTATAAGTGAAAATATGTGATATTTGGTTTTCTGCTCCTGTATTAATTCACTTAGGATAATGGCCTTCAGCTCCATATCCATGTTGCTGGAATGAACATGATTTCATTCTTTTCGTGATTGCATAGTATTCTATGGTATCTATGTACCACATTTCCTTTATCCAGTCCACTACTGATGGACATTTAGGTTGATTTCATGACTTTGCTATTGTGAATAGTGTTGTAATGAACATATATGTGCATGTGACTTTATGGTGGAATGATTTATATTCCTTTGAGTATATGCCCATTAATGAAACTGATGGCTCAAATGGTAGTTCTAAGTTCTTTGAGAAATATCCAAACTGCTTTCCACAGTTGCTGAACTAATTTACATTCCCACCAGTAGTATATAAGCATTCCCTTTTCTTCACCACCCTTCCAGTATCTGTTATTTTTTGACTCTTTAACTGTAGCCATTCTGACTGGGTGTGAGATGATATTTTGTAGTTTTGATTTACAATTCTCTAGTGATTAGTGATGTTGAGCATTTTTTCATGTGCTTGTTGGCTGTGTGTATGGCTTCTTTTGAGAAGTGTCTGTTCATGTCCTTTGCCCATTTTTAATGGGATTGTTTGATTTTTGCTTGTTGATTTGTTTAAGTTCCTTATAGATTCTGAATATTAAAAATTTGTCAGATGCATAGTTTACAAAAATGTATTCCCATTCTGTACATTGTCTGTTTACTCTGTTGATAGTTTCTTTTGCTGTACAGAAGAAGCTCTTTAATTAGGTCTCATTTGTCAATTTTTGTTTCTGTTGCAATTAACATTTGGAGTCTTTGTCATGAAATCTTTGCCAGGGCCTATTTACAGAATGGTATTTCCTGGATTTTTTTTCTAGGCATTTTATAGTTTTAAGTTTTAGATTTAAATCTTTAATCCACCTTGAGTTGATTTTTATATATGATGAATTCAAGGCGTCCAGTTTCATTCTTTGACATGTGGCTAGCCAGTTAACCCAGCACCATTTATTGACTAGGGAGTCCTTTTCCCATTGCTTGTTTTTATTGACTTTGTTGAAGATCAGATGGTTGCAGGTGTGTGGCTTTATTTCTGGGTTCTCTAACCTGTTCCATTGGTCTATGTGTCTTTTTTTGTACCAGTACCATACTGCTTTGGTTACTATAGCCTCATAATATAGTTTCAAGTCAGATAGTATGAGGCCTCCAGCTTTGTTCTCTTTGCTCAGAATTCTTGGATATTTGAGCTCTTTCTTGGTTCAATATGAATACTAAAATAGTTTTCTCTAATTTTGTGAAAAATGACATTGATAGTTTGATAGGATAACATTAAACCTGTAAATTGCTTTCGGCAGTGTTGCCATTTTAACAATATTGATTCTTTCTATCCATGAGCATTGAATGTTTTTCCATTTGTTTGTGTCATCTGTGATTTCTTTGAACAGTGTTTTGTAATTCTTATTGTAGGGATCTTTCACCTCCCTGGTTAGCTGTATTCCTAGGCATTTGTGTGTGTGTGTGTGTGTGTGTGTGTGTGTGTGTGTGTGTGTGTGGCTGTTGTGAACAGGATTACATTGTTTTGTTTTGTTTTTTTGAGATGGAGTCTCACTCTGTCACCCAGGCTGGAGAGTAGTGGCACGATCTTGGCTCACTGCAACTTCTGCCTCCCAGGTTCAAATGATTCTCCTGCCTTTGCCTCCTGAGTAGCTGGGATTACAGACATGCACCACCATGCCTGACTAATTTTTGTATGTTGGTGGAGACAAGGTCTCACCATGTTGGCCAGGCTGGCCTCAAACTCCTGGGCTCAAGTGATCCACTCGCCTCAGCCTCCCAAAATGCTGGGATTACATGTGTGAGCCATCACACCCAGCCTCATTTTGGTTGATATAAATTTTTCATTAAGTAGGACCATAAAGCTAAATTGCAATAATATATTTATACTAAATTTTTTCTCTTTTGAAATTCTATCAAATATTTCAAGTCCTAAAATGCTTGATTTTTTTTCTTTTGTGGTGGGGCCTCACTATGTTGTTCAGGCTGGTCTCACACTCCTAGGCTCAAGGGATTCTCTCTCCTCAGCCTCCCAGCTTGTTTATCACTAATCATACCCTAGAGTTTAAAATCCTAGAAATATTTTTCAATTTTGTATTTGCTTTATCAACACTTTGATAATTTTTTAAATTTTTGTTATTTTGAAAGTTTTATTATATGAAACTGATTTGTGATATTATTTTTTTTTCATCCATGGCCACATTTTTTATTTGCATTCTAGGTGCCATTCTAATGAAATAAGTGTTTATAACTTTGATCTTTCCACAATTCAACTTTTGAGCACCATTTGTATCCAACATTCACATTACAAGCAGTAATAAGCCATTCTCTTTTTACTGAAATAACAAAGTGCTTTTCATTCCAGAAATACAAATTACTTGTTTTATTTCATGCTGATTCTTGCAGAGTATTAAAAGACATTTTATACTGTTCTGAATTTTTCATAGCATTGGATGATTCCCAAGCTACAGTTTTTTATTAGTATCATTTCTTCTTTGTTCTCCAGTAAATCCAAAGATTCGTTTTATGATATTTAAAAGGAAATGTTAAGAAACATTTGCATCTTCATCTCCTCATTCTGGGTTCATTTTTAACACCTATAAATATGAATTTTTATAAATATCAAAATACCCCACATTATTTATACAAGAAGTGCTGCACACTGACAATAAACCACTTAGAATCATAGGCAAACTGTAGTTTGAGGTTAATGAAAAATTAGTATTTCTCCAAAGCACAGAGTGCTTAGAATAGGTGAGAAAACAGATGAATAAAAGTTTGGTGATTGTTGAAGCCCAGGGTAGTTGCCTGTTCTCTCTTCTGAATATACTTTACATTTTCCATGATGAGAAGCTTAAAAAATAAAAAGGCCCTACACAGCAACACTGCTTACTATGACAGGGGCTGAAATGGCAGATAGTGCTGGAAATGTTGCTCAGATATTGACACAACAGGAATCTACACCATCAGGCAGCCTAAGAAATCAGCTTGAACTAATGAGTATACACTGAAATTTATATTACTAATGAAAGGTTACCATTTACACAATTTCTATTATACACTATTTGCCAATTGGCTCAGAAGTTTTTCAGGATTTAACAATTAAGAAGACTCTGCTAGAGCTTAATAGTTAAATATCAGCCCTGGATATATAGTGATAAATCAGACACAGCCCATGCCTCAAGAAGTTTCTAGTCTAGCTACAAAGACAGATGTGGGATAAAACATTGTGATAGAAATTAAAGTGTAAAAGAAGTAAGGAGGAGACAGAAAGATATTTAAAACAAAGAGCATCCAAAAATATTTTACTGGATACTGTAAGAATTGAAGTAGACTTTTAAGAGAAATGAAATTCAATAGGCCAACATGGGGAGGAATGCATTCCAGGTAGGGGGACTGGCTACTTGTGAGTTCTTTGGGAATTCCAAAATTATTATCCTTGAGATTTTCCAAGTCTTTCACATTTTGTACTTTTCTACAAAGTTGACAATCACCAACTACCAAATAATTTTATATTTTACTGTATAACATGAAGATTAATATTGTTCAACTAACTATAGGTAGGCTCTTTTAATTCTGGTTCTATAAGAGTAATAATAAGTACTTATATAGTTTCTACTATGTTCCAGGCACTTTTTACATATTAACCCATTTAATCTCACAATGGTTCTACAAGGTAGGTTTTATCATCATGCCCAGTCTTCAGATGAGGGTCTAAGGCCTTGCACAGATAGCATAGATCATTTCCCATAATCACATAACCAGGAAACCACATGCTTAGAGTTTAACCCAGTCTGGCTCCAGAGACTGAAGCCTTAACCACATGGATATCACTGCTCTCCGCTAGCCATAAACCTCTAAGTAGCCACAAGGAACCAGCAAACTTGAGCGTTTGTAATTGTGACATTAAAACCTGAATGTTGTAACCTTACTTGACTTGTGTGTCTCTCAGGGGAAGCTGTTGCTGAGAAAGACTCTGAAATCACCTTCATTAAAAAGGTAACCTGCTCTAACGCTGAGCTGGTGAAAGGAAGGCAGTACTTAATTATGGGTAAAGAAGCCCTCCAGATAAAATACAATTTCAGCTTCAGGTAAGTCATCAATATTTTGGAGTCACTGATCTGTCCTCCAAAACTGAGTATAATTTATTCTTAAATAGGCTACGTGTTTCTATGGCCCTGCTCTTAACCAACAAGCCATTTTGAACATAAATTAAATAATATGAGTGTCAAACACAGAATGATTTAAAACCATCGTGGCAGCTGATGACTTAGCTGCCTGATCAACCATCTAAGTGTCTGGACCTGATGATGAATCTGAAAGTGCTCACTGGACCTCCCCTAACCACCACACCAATTCTTTCGATAGGCTCTCAGATTGTTGTTTGTAAAGACGAAAATGTGTAAATATGCATTGTATTATCTGTTTTTAGCAACTAGACATTGAAATAGATGTCATTTCTGCCTTTAATATGGTCGCCTAGGCAGCTTCATGATGCCTCAAGGGTTTGTGAATCTTTCCCAGGAAAGGCTGGTACAGAAGAGTTTGGCAGACAACCTGACCCCTGGGGACCTGATCACAGTTGGGCTCTTACAAAAGAAACCAAATTCAGCTTTTCTGTATTGTGACCACCTCACAAACACTTTATTTCTTGGTAGGTACATCTACCCCTTAGATTCCTTGACCTGGATTGAATACTGGCCTAGAAACACAACATGTTCATCGTGTCAAGCATTTTTAGCTAATTTAGATGAGTTTGCTGAAGATATCTTTATAAATGGATGCTAAAACTCCTGAAGTTCAGCTGTCTACAGATTTTACTTATGGACTCCTGTTGCTGAAGTTCGTTTTGCTTTTTTCTTCTTCTTTTTTTTTTTTTTTAAAATTCAACAGCTGGTCTTATTTGTAAAGCTTACTTAGAATTAGTGGCACTTCCCTTTATTGGAGAACAATTTTAAACACTGTAACTTTCTGAAACAACATGGCCTTGGAGGACATGAAGACAGATACTCCTCCAAGGTTATTGGACACCGGAAGCAATAAATTGAAACACCTCCTCAAACCTACCACTCAGGAATGTTTGCTGGGGCTGAAAGAATAGTCCATTGAAATGGAGTATTACAAAAACATGGCCTTTGCTTGAAAGAAAATACCAAGGAACAGGAAACTCATCATTAAAGCCTGACTTTGCTTTCAAACTGTGCTAAAAAACCTGTTATTTTATGCTAGATCAGCTTCAACTGCACAAAGACAGGCAAATTGAGAAAGGTGGAGAAAGTAGGCAGTAGAGAATCTTAACCCTGAGCGGGCTTAGCCTCAGAGCCCTCAGCACACCAAGAAGGTAGGCGAGTTTGTCTCTGCCCGCTCCCTGTCCATTGCCCTCTCCATACCCCTGAAGGGAGATCCTCTACTCTCTTTCCTTCCCTCCTGGCATGTGTTCATTTCCCCCAGGAACTTGGTCTCGCCAATAATTGCTTTACTAGAAGGCAGGCCCCAGTGCAGCAACCTGGTGAGAAGAAACCGAGTAGGGGATCAGGAGACCTTTTCCCAGCCCTATCCAGGTCTCTCTCTGAACCTCAGTTTGAGCTTTATAAAAGAGGTTTCATAATAAGGAGTTAAATTTTAAATGACATTTTGCAGCACTTTAGAGCATATTAAAAAGTTCTTACATATATTACCATTTAATGCCTCAAGATTCCCACAGGTTCAGAAATTATTACTATTATTATCATTATCATCCCTATCTTACAGATAAGAAAACTGAGGTTCAGGCCTGGCTCAAGCCTATAGTCCCAGCGCTTTGGGAGGCCGAAATGGGTGGATCATTTGAGGTCAGGAGTTAGAGACCAACCTGGCCAACATAGTGAAATCTCATCTTTACTAAAAATACAAAAATTAGCCAGGACTGGTGGCATACACCTGTAATCCCAGCTACTTAGGAGGCAGGAGAATCACTTGAACCCGGGAGGTGGAGTTTGCAGTGAGCTGAGAACCTGCCACTGCACTCCAGCCTGGGTGACAGAGTGAGACTCCATCTCAAAAAAGATAAAAGAAAAAAAGAAAATTGAGGTTCAGAAAAAAAGCAGTTTTCCCAGCCTAGTGAAGAAAAGAATTGGAAATCAAACCCCAAGGCTCTATCTCAGTCTAAATACATCTCTCTTTCACATCACTACATATTGCTTGTCAGGTTGAATTTTCTAACACTAAGGTAGGACATGGTACAAGTTTCTTAGACACAGGTTAACCAGTCCCACTGAACTATCAAAAGAAACATGAAGATGACATCTGGATGTAATGGTAATTAACAGAGACTGAAAAGCATCTCCTTTTGAAGAGTCTGCTTTTTCACTAGTTAGGTGAAACTATCCAAGGCCTTGTAATGTGCCTTTATAAATAAGGCTAAGATTTTCCACTTCCAGGGACTAAGGGCTTATTTTTCTCTAATGTCAAAGCTTACATTGTAGGCACTCCCTTGGCAAAAACAACCAGTGTGTCAGGTTCAAGATGTCCACACTCCCTGTCAGCGAGGGGTGAGGAGACCTTCTCCAGAGCAGGCCTCTGGGTGTCTCCTGTCACCTTCTTACTGAATGCAGGGAGGAGGGAACCACTGGTGCTGCTTCAGAGGCACAAGAGTCTGACTGCCTTTTCCCTGATCACTTTGGCAAATAGGGCAGGCCACAGTGGCCTAATTAACCCACAATGCAGCTGTCAAATATCAAAGCAGCTTTTGTGAAGTAGCCTGGCACCATTTAAAATATCCGCCAGCTCCTCTTCAGCTAACTCCTATGCATTTGAACATACTTTCTTAGTGAGTTTTTTGTGACCTCCAAACCAGGCTGGGCCCACTATCCAACCCTGCACTTCTCCTCCAAGACACTTGTGTTCTTGCAATGATTTTTAATCAGATGGAATTATTTGTATAGCGTGACCACACTGAAAGCTCCTTATAGGTGAGGCCTGAGTCTGTTCTATTCACCAGTATCTCCTGTAGTTGCCACAATATCAGGCACATCATAGGGATTAATAAGTGGTTGTGGATTCCCCTACAGTGTAGAGAATCAGGAGACCCAAGTTCTAGTCTTGGCTTTGGCCCTAATTGGCAGCAATTTGGGACAAGCCTCTTACTCTCTTTGATAGCCTATAAAATAAGGAAATTGGACACTCTAATGTCTCTTATCTACAGTTAAGAAAATGTTTTATAATCTTATGATGTGAAACAGAAAAAAACAAATGGCATATAAGCATCCAAATATTGGGCTTATGTATTATTATTATTATTTTTATACAATGGCATAATCTCAGCTTACTACAACCTCTGCCTCCTGGATTCAAGTGATTCTTCTGCCTCAGCCTTCTAAGTAGCTGGGATTACAGGCATGTGCCACCATGCCCAGCTAATTTTTTGTATCTAGTAGAGACGGGGTTTCACCATGTTGGTCGGGCTGGTCTCAAACTCTGGCCTCAGGTGATCCACCTCCCTCAACTTCCCAAAGTCCTGGGATTACAAGTGTGAGCCACTGCACCTGGCCTGGGCTTACATATTCTGTCTGTAATTATGGAGAGAGCCCAGAGAAGGAAGCTGGAGGAGCTACCAAGGCTTCCTGGAGAAGGACAGTGGGATTTGAGTAGGTGGCAGGTACAGGAGGGCCTTTCTGGTTAAGGGGGACTGCTTAAGGCAGGTTTCCCCAGGAGTAAGCAAGATGTTCTCAGGTGATGCGATTCACATTGTTCACTTGAGTAGCTATATGTTTATTTTAACATGTATTTTTAAAAAGTAGCTAGTACATCAAAGCTGTGATATGACATTTTCTTTCAAAATAAATTTATTTCCCAAGAAGTAAGTCTACTTAAGAAAAAGTATTAAGTAAATAAAAGTAAGATTATTCTCTAGGCAAAAATCATGCAGTTGGCATACAAATGATTGAAGTTTAAGATACTCTGTCTTAAGAAAATACGTGGAGGTGTCTATGAGCCACGGTTGAGACTAGCACCCTCACTCCGTATTTCTCAGTGACAGACTCTGGACCAAAGTCATATTTAGTCTTTCTTTCCAGATCCTATAATGCTAATGTATTCAGCAATCCAACAAATATGTATTGATTGGTAACTGTAGGCTATGCCCAATTCTAGGTGCCTGGTACCAAGATCCCTGCCCTTGTGGATTCCAATTGGGAGAGATATGCAATAAAAAATAAAGAGAACAATTAAGGAATTAATCTTGGATCTCAGAAAGTGATAAGAGCAATGGGAAAAAGAAAAAGTAAAGCAGACTAAGGGAGACTAGTAATGGTCATGGGAGGGGTTGTTGTTCTAAATAGGGTAGTCAGATCAGGTGGGCTTCAATGAGAAGGTGAAATTTGAGCCAAGACTAGAAGGATGTGAAGGAGTGAGCCACATAGCTAGCCAGGGGGAGAGTGTTCCCGGCACTCTTGGTATCTGGTGTCCAGCCTAAGGCAGGAGCAAGCTGGTGTGTCACAAGAAAAGCAAGAAAGCGGGGGTGGCAGGTGCAGGTTATGAAGTTAATGGAAGGGGCTTTGGCTTTACTTGGAAGGGAACAGGAGCCATTGCAAGGCTGTGAACAGAAGAGTGACATGGTCTGTCTTGCCTTTTTAAAGGACTACTCTAACTACTATGTTGAAAATAAGGCAAGAGTAAAAAGAACTGATAGGAGGCTACTGTAGTAAACCCAGTGAGGGATGATGGTACCTCAGACCAGAGTGGTAGCAGTGGAGGTATTGAAAAGTGGTTGAATTCTGGATATACTTTAGAAGTAAATGATACAGTTTGGGTATTTGTCCCCCAAAATCTCATGTTGAAATGTGATCCCCAGTGTTGGAAATGAGGCGGGGTGGAAGATGTTTGGACCACAGTGGTGGATCCCTCGTGAATGGCTTGGTGCCCTCCCCATGGTAATGAGTTAGTTCTCACTCGTTAGTTACTGTGAGATCTGATTGTTAGAAAGAGCCTGGCACTTCCTTCTTGCTGGTTGCTTCCTCTCTCACCATGTGCCACCTAGGCTCTTTTTTCCCTTCCACCATAGTTGTAAGCTTCCTGGGGCCTCACCAGAAGCAGATGCTGGGACCATGCTTCTTGTACAGCCTGCAGAAACATGTGCCAAATAAATCTCTTTTCTTTTTTTTTTTTATTGAGACTAATCACTCTGTCACCCAGGCTGGAGTGCAGTGGTGCTATCTCACCTCACTGCAACCTCCGCCTCTCAGATTCAAGCAATTCTCCTGCCTCAGCCTCCCAAGTAGCTAGGACTACAGGCATGAGCCACCACATCTGGCTAATTTTTTTTGTATTTTTAGTGGAGATGGGGTTTCACTGTGTTAGCCAGGATGGTCTCGATCTCCTGATCTCATGATGATCTGCCTGCCTCGGCCTCCCAAAGTGCTGAAATTACAGGCATGAGCCACTGCGCCTGGCCATCTTTTCTTTATAAATTATGCATCCTCAGGTATTCCTTTATAGCAAAACAAAAGTGACTAATATAGTAGGTTTAATTGAAGGGGCTAATAGAGTAATTGTAACTGAATTTCTTGATAGAGTGGAAATAAGTGTGAGAGAAAGAGAGGAGTCAAGGGTGATGCCTGAACAACTGGAAAGATGGAGTTGCCTAAGATTAGGAAGGCTGCAGATGGAACAGGTTGCGGGGAGTTAGGAATCCGTTTAGTTTTGGATGTATTAAGTTTTAGAGGAAATCTATTAAACATCCAAGTGAAGGAGTTTGGAAGGCAATGGATTATACCATTCTGGAGTTCAGGAGAGAGGTCTGGGCTGAAAAATATAAATCTGAGAGTCATCAGCATGCTAAAACCATTAGACTAGCTAAGATCACGAAGGATGTGAATATAGACAGAGTAGGGGAGAAAAGAACACCAAGGATAGACTTTTTGAGCATTCCAACATGAAGTTGTTGGAGAAAAGAGATAGAGGTTCCATTGAATTGGAGGAAGAAACAAGAGATGAGGTCCCCTACAAGCCAAGCAAAAGAAAGACGTACTGGGAGGAAGAGTGTTGAACTGTATCAAATGCTAAGAGAGAAGTAAGATAAAGACTTGGCTATTGGGTTTAGCATTGGCGACTTTGACAGGACAGGTTAGGTGGAGTAGTGGGAATAATAGCTTGAATAAAGTGAGTTGAAAGGTAAATGGAAAGAGAGGATTTGGAGACAGGGAGTATGGACAACTTATTC